AATTTAAAAGAGTGTTATAAAAGTAACAACACTGTTGTGTTATTACTTTTGTAGTCGTAAATTCATTGTTTTGTTTTTCATAAGATTTTCACTAACAAAGTAAAGTTTATTCGCCTATTCCATAAACTTCATGGTTTTCCATAAACTGAAACTTTGAAGACCAGATAATTTCACAGATATCGCAAATCGCGATGCCTTAATTCAACCTTTATATATATATATATATATATATATATATATATATATATATATATATATATATATATATATATATATATATATATATATATATATATATATATATATATATATATATATGTATATATATATATATATATATGTATATATATGTATATATCACGGCCTACTTAAAGTTTACGGCCTAATATTCTACATATTTGCCAAAAAAATAGAAGGCCAGTTTAGAGTGCGGTTTTGAATAAGAGTGTAACGGTGCTTTATAAATTGAAACTTGTAATATTGAAAATAAAGAATCGTTAACAAATGTTGTGTTGTTGGCTGTTTTTCAAACTATTCTAAACATGATGCGGTTCCAGTTTTTTCATTTCCTGTAAAGAAAGAATTAAGAACGAAATGGATAAAATTTGTAAATAGACTAAACTGGGTACCAACTAAATCATCAGTTATTTGTGTAAAACATTTTCAGGAAAAATATTTAAAATATGGAGAACAAGAAAAAAGATTTCGTTTGATAAAGAAGTTAAACCAGTACCAACTATACATCCAAGTGTTATATCTAAATCATCTATACCAACAATAAATTTGGAAAGAAAATCTCCAACAAAACGAATATACCAGAATGATCAAAGAAGCGAATTTTAAAAAAATGATTTAATAAAAAATTTAAACTGTAATGCTGATATTCCATGTCCAAGTGGCTACCAAATGCTAAAACATAATGATCATATTGTATTTTACAAAATGTTGTTTAATGAGTTTTCAATACCAGATTTTATTGAGTGTATACGAGTTGGTGAGAGTTTACACGTTAAACTATTTTATAAGGGTTGTTTAGTGCCATTACCAAAATAGTTTTGTAATGGTCATAATTGTACATTAACTCGTAAAAGTATGTTTGAAAACTTTCCTGCTTATTAAAAAAATTTTCAGTTTTTGAAGAACTTGAAAAAATAAAATATCAGAAAAAACCAATGTATTCTGGTAACTTAATTTGATATGCATTATTATTGCGCTATACATCTATGCAATCCTACAAAGTACTTTTAGAAGAATTTCGATTACCATCACTTTCTTTATTAAATAAAATTTGTTCTGGTAACATTGATGCACTAAAAGCTGCAAAATTATTACTTGGAAATGGCAAAATGCCAAACTTTGAATCTTTTGCATAATAGTGGGTTTGTTGTGCAAGCTATTGTGTGCAATAATCATGCAAGCAATTTTTCTGCATTTAATAAATTGTTATCAGAATATGAAAATGGATTTGATAGCTTTTCAATTTTATGCAGAAAAGTTTATTTATTCTACGATGCTGTTCATTTAATAAAAAATGTGAGAAACAACTTGCTAAATCGAAAGAGGTTTTTGTTTCTTCAATTTGAGTTTATTGGCTTTAAAGATAAGGTTATAGTTAAAGGTGGAAAAGTATCTTGGAAACTATTTCATGATATCCATGAAAAAGATCTTTTTTTAAATGCAGATTTACGAAGAGCTCCTAAACTAACAAATAAAGTGCTACACCCAGGAAAATATAAACAAAATGTTCAAGTAGCTCTTGACTTATTTAATGAAAGTACAATAGCTGGTTTGAAATAAAACTTTCTTTTACATGAGGATGCTGTTGGCTTTTGAGGGTTATTTAATAAATGGTGGATTATTGCTAATAGTAAAAACCAGTTTTGTTCCAATAACTATTTAGGAAATTATCTTGAATGATAAAAAACCAGCAATAGCATTATGGATTGATAATTGGGAAAAACAAAAAATCATGAACTGTGAGAAATTGCTTATGTCTGCTCAAACTAGTTCAGCATTTAAGCAAACACTTAATTGACTAGATTTCAAAGTGATCCAATATAGAGAAGGTTTGGACAGTACCTACAGATGAGCGGGGGGAGATTTTTGGTGAGCTTAAAAGATGTTTCGTGCTCTGTGCCAATTATCAAATTTAAAAGTTTAGTTAAAGAAAGCATTGATATCTGCAATAGTGATATCAAGCAGTCTAATGATCAGGAGAATATTTTAAACGAATTTTTGAAAAAACTCAAGTGCACTTCTTTAAATAATGTGGTTTTGTCAGAAGATAGCAGAGAAGTTGCCTTTCATATTGCAGGTTATATTGCAAAGAAAATTTCTAAAAGATTAGGTAAATGCTGTCATAAACTAATGATTGGAGTAGATAAATTTGATTCTCCAGATAAACAATATATTAAAACTTTATCGAGGGGAGAATTGACTATACCATCTACCAATCTGGATAATTATACCTGTGATGCTTTTGATATATATATATATATATATATATATATATATATATATATATATATATATATATATATATATATATATATATATATATATATATATATATATATATATATATATATATATATATATATATATATATATATATATATATATATATTTGTATCAGGCTTTCCCAGGAAAGGCGTGCGGTCGCACGCCTTGTGTGTCCACTCATAGAATAAATTTTTCAGAAAACGTGACCGCGGCAATATTTCGTGGGAAAGCGAAACTTATCCACAGAGAATAAAAAATAATATTAAAAAAAGGAAACGAAGCCTAAACAAAGTATAAAATTGAAATTGGATGTAAGAAAAATATTTTATTAATAAAAAAAAATTCAAAAAAAAAAATTCTTGTAACAAAAAAAAAAAAGTCTTGAACATTTTTTTTCAAAATTTTTATACTGTTTTTTTTTTTTTTTTTAGGGTTGCTATTTTCAGCTATGAAATTTGATACAAGTCAAGGAAAAGACGACTATAAGTCATTTTTCATGAAAAATATAAGTCAGTTTTCATGAAAATAAAAAGACTTGATACGTAATTTATTCACGAACTTTATCAGACAACGTATTAAAAAACTGATTCATTATTTACGCTAGACAAATTTAGTTAAATTTTTTCATTTAATTTAGTTTTTACGAAGGTTTATGCAAAGGGGATGACGTTATTCCCCAATACTTAGACAAGAAAATAAATTGCTGTTTTAATTATTAAATATATTATTAGAGATTTTAAACATAACAAAATTTTAATATGAAAAAAGTTCTCTCGATTTATTCTAAACTGATTATACTGAGCCTCTTATTACGTTGAAATTATTCAATTGCATAATTTTGTAATTACGAAAGAAGTTAAAAAAATAACTGCATTGCTTCTGTTGTCATTGCTACGAAAACAGTTCCTTCGGGACATTATTATATATTAACACTTGTTAACAATGTCAATTAATGATTGCAAAATAAAATAAATTCAATCATTTGACAATAAAATTTTCTTTCATTTGAAAAAAAAAACAAAAACATATTTTACAAATAAATAGCAATTGTTTTCGCGCTTTCTTGCGTATCAATACATTTAAACATTTAAACGTATTTACAAAACATTTAAAAATTGTTTATAGTTCTATCGTGAATTTTAAAGTATTACTGACTGATAAAAGTCATAAACAAATTTTAGATTAAAACTTTTATTTTCATTAAACTATAACCTTTTTTTTTTTGATTTTATATTTCTTATTGATTTGATTTTTCATAGCTAAAATAACTACCACCCTAAAAAATTTATATATATAAATAAATAAAATATAGGTAAATTTTTTTTTTAATAATATACATTAATTTTTAAATTTTAAAGCAAAAACAGATTTCTGTTATTTACTTTAAGATTGCTTGCATATTTGCGGTATTTTCGTTTAGCTTTGTTTTGGCGTGAATTTTTGAAACACATAATAACAAAACGTGGTCAGTTAGTCAGAAAAATTTATTTTATGCGTGAACAAACAAGGCGTGCGACCGCACGCCTTTCCTGAAAAAGCCTGTTGTATATATATATATATATATATATATATATATATATATATATATATATATATATATATATATATATATATATATATCAAATGAACTACAATTAGACAAGTTTTTATAATTAACAGATGTATTTAAATGTTATTAAAACAAATTGTAATTAAATGTAATTTTAAATTTTTGTTTAAAAGATCCACTTTTAAGCTACTTAAAAAAAATCCCTAACTTAATAAACAAACTTTTCATTATACCATTTATTTTCATTATAGCATCGATATAGCATTAACTCATTTTTTTTATTAAAATGACAGTTTATTTTATTTTGAATGACAATATTAAAATGACAGTTTATTTTATCTTAAAAAGTGTTCAGTTTCATTCAAGCAAAGTAGTGGTTTGGTGCCCCTTCTGTCCATCCAATACTCCCAGTAATAAGAGCTTAACATAAAGTTGTAGCCTAACTTTACACCTATCTTATGAGATATTTGTATTTTAGTAAGAATTGACAAAGTTATGACAATTTAATTGAAGAAAAACATTATTTTGACCAGTTTTATCAACAAAACTATATATAAAAAAATCGTTACTTAAACCATTATAACTTTTGAACAAACTATTCGATTTTGATAATTTTTTACCTTTAAGATACTGTAATAATCCTCTTTCTATTGATATATAATATTATAGTATTCAAACAATCTGAAATTTTTATCCACATACCTAATAAAAGGTATACTTTTTAAGACCAAGTAAATAGTACAATGTTTTGGTAGAGATTAACTGAAGGTACTAACTTGTGTAAAAGAGAAAAACCAGTGTTATATCAGATTATTAAAAATTATTGAATTACTTAAAAGAGTTAGTTTTATTGTGGATTAAGATATAACCTACAAAAACATGTAGATGTAAATACAAGATATTATTTTCATACATTTATTAAATAAATCATAAGAACAAGTATACTTACCCAATTAATTGGTTCCTTTTAAAGTGTATTTCAGTCACATTGACTGAAGGTGCAGCATGGTTCTCTGAATACCCATTAACTGTTGAAACATCATTAGCTGTGCCATTGCTCATTTTACACTGATTAGTGATACTTTAAATAAAATTTGATGGAGTTATAATATTCACTAAGAATTTGATTTAAATGTTATCAGTGTTAATAATACATTTTAAATGTTACATTCTAAATACGTTTATTTTAAATATGTTTAAATGCTAAGAACATTTTAAATATTACTATCTAAACTTCTTAAATAGCAATACCTCTTTTAAATAGTATTTATTCTTTTAAATAGTATTCTTCTTAAATTCTAGTATTTAGTATTTATCTTCTATTCTAGTACTTCTAGTATTTCTTCTTAATATCGCTGGAAAAAAATGTATTTTTCAAATCCGCAATAATATTGGGATAACACTAAAATAATAAAGGAAGAAAAAAATGTTGTGAATTTTTCAACAAAGAAAAATGGTTTGGAACATGTACATTAGCGTGACTAAAGCGACAGAACGAGTTTTTGTTGTTGTTTGAGTCCAAACGGCAGGGGCGCACAGCGGGTAAGAGATCCGGGTCGGTTTTCCAGGGCATCACGTTTATGGCACTGATCTCTATAATAATTATTATAGAGATCAGTTATTATAGAGATCAGTGGTTTATGGGGCAAAAAAAAATTATCAGTATGCCGAATAAAAAGTTGAAAACATCCAATAAAGAAATGAAAATTGTTTACTTTACTACTAATCCGGTCAAAGTAGACAAAAAAGTAGTGGTAGATTTGCAATAATTCGCACAGAGCTGAAAATTGGTACATACTTTGAGCATATTATTACAAACAAAGTATTAAAAGTCCCCATCGATCCCATATCTGCAAAAAAAGTTATTCAAGGTCAAAGGTATTAAAAAAAAAAGGAAATGTTTTAGCATAAAAGTAGATCAAACAAATGCGAAGTACATTTTAACGCATTTTCGAATAAACTGTTTCAGCGATCTTGTATAAGAACAATGAAAAATGCTTTTTTTGAATAACTTTTTTAATGATTTTTCTCGTCTGAATTCCCAAAACTCTTGGAACAAAGTTACGAACGATGAAATACTTGTAGTGTTGAATATTCTATTGTAGTGAATAGTATCGAGTAGTATTTTTTATTACGATTGGAACCAATTAGGGATCGTCCATAAATTACGTAACGCAAACTTTCACAATAAACAAAACAAAAAAGATTAAAATTTTTTTCTCGTTTAATTTAAATATAGAATCATTCAGCTTATTGAAAATCGCCGTGTAAAAGAGCTTAATTTCTCCGACTTCCTTTTTTTTAAATATATTTTGCGTTGCGTAATTTATAGACGATCCCTTAATACACGATTTTTTTTTTTTTTTTTTGTATAAGCAACTTAGAATTTTGGTCAGAACTCGAGTTGCTTATTTTTCAGCCAATTTCTATATCTCGAATTGCTTTATGGTTGCTTAAGTTTCTTAACCTAAATTTCAGTGTTTTTACGAATAAGAGACAAAATACGGTTTAATATCAAGTCTTTAACAGAAGAGTGCTCTTTACAGCTAAAATCACTTAAGTTCTAATTAAAAAAAAGATCACAAATGTTTCATTCTTCTGCCGGATCTTTATTTTCTTCATCTCCACTTTCTTCGTCTTTTTGTCCGTCTGATTTTTCTACTTGTCCATCTAGTTCCTCGTCTTCTCCGTCTGACTCGTCAGGCAAAACATCAATAGGGTTATCCTTTACTTCGTCTGGAATAGTAGTCTCTGTGATTTCCACCAGGTTGTCAATGTCAACAGGGGGTGGAACAACATAAGCAGGCATGCCTTCATAATTTATCTTATCGTCCTCGCTACCATCAGCCGTGATAAGACATCCTGTTTTCGCATAGCTCCTATAAAGCATACGAAGAAATTTCTCGTCTTTGGATGTTTTACGGTAAGCTTCACCGACCCAACGAGTTATCAAAATGCAGCGATCTTTTGCCGACAGTTTCCGATTATCGTTGCCAAGCCAGAGTTCGATGTTTTCCTCATTTTCGAGCCAGATGTTTTGTTCTGCTTTAATATGTGATTTGAATGCTTTTCCTGGTCCGGCATCAACAGTTTGCCAAAAATGTGTCCCGTTGGGAACACCAAACCAGACAATACCTTTATGTTGTCGCACTTCATTCAAAAACTCATCACTGACTTGGGCTGTCAGGTTATCGCAGAACAAAACATACTCATCCAGGTTTGCGACAGCATTGGAGAGAGTGTTCTTTACCCATTTCACGGAAAACGCTGTATCTGCCCATGCATTTGATTGCCAGTACACATCTACATCAGTGTCATAGGCTAAAACTTCATCTTGACTAATCCATTTCCCCTTACCTCTGAAAATCAACGCCGGCTTCACCATTCCTTCAGAACTGAAAGAGGGGTAGCTTGTCGCTTATCAAGCCCGCTGCCAGGTTGAGCTACCCATACTCTATGGTCCCTTCGTTCCTTTCCCTTACTCATTGGAATTTCGAATGTTCGTTTGCTCTTGACTACAAACGGGAGTGGAATTTGATCTACATTGATTCTCTTTTTCGGTGGGAAACGCCCCCATTTTTTATTGTATGTGGGTTTGCCACTTCCAGACTTAATCAACTTTTCTCTCAAATTTGAATGCCATTTCATCAGAATCGGAGTTTACTTCTTTACGTCAGCTTGGCGCTTACGTTGAACACACAGCATGCGGATCTTATTTTTCCTTAAGAAATGAGTGACTATTGATTTTGGCAATGTGTCAGCATTCGGGCTTTGTTGTAGACGAATTTGATTCTCGCTCGGACATACAACCACTCAAAAGTTAACTTTTAGCCCCTTTTTTCTAGCTTTGGAGAATTTTTCATAAAGTTTGTTAAACGAAGCTTTGTGTTTGTCGCCTCCGGCATTTCCTGAATAACGCGTTTTTCTTTTTTTCGTTGTAGGGTAATGCGGGGCAAAATGAGACAGCGGAGCAATACGAGACAGTTCGCGTTTAACATAATGCCAGCCCTACAAATTATTATTTGCAAGATGTTTAAAAGTGCAGTTGTGTTCAAAAACTATTTTGTGTCAAGAAAAATATATTGAGTCACTTTGAAATAAAAAAGTTGAGTAAAAGAGTCATTTCATCCCTCGGCTTCGCGAAAATTACGAATTTTTAAGAGTTGTTATTATATTTTTTCCTAGCCTTTTTTGATCTCACTGAGTGGAAAAGCTTTTTATATTTAAAGTTTTTTTTTAATTAGAATCTTTAGGTCTTTTCTTTTCATTTCCATTCTTTGGTATTTTATTTCTTCAATAAAATAGTTTGGAAATTAGGCTATTCGATGCCAACATGATGCGGGGCAAAACGAGACATTATATATATATATATATATATATATATATATATATATATATATATATATATATATATATTATATATATATATATATATATATATATATATATATATATATATATATATATATATATATTTATGTGTATCAAATACAGCTCTTTTCCGTTTTTTGTTTTTGATAATCTAGTAGCTTTTTATGTGTGACTCTTATGCCACCATAAGACTTAGACAAACTGAAATTTCTTAATAAATTAAGTATGCAAAATATCGCAACTAAAAGCGGTTTCTTGATGACAAGACCAAAATGGTCTTCTGCAAGTTTCCCGCGTCTTTTAACAGTGTTACTTTTTTATATATATTATTATTTGTATTAAAAAAAGTTTTCTTATTATATGTACGGTATTTTTTTTATACAATGTAAACGAACTAGTTTATATTTATGATCACGTATTTGTAAAGCTTTGATAAAAGACAAAAAAAAAAAAAAAAAAAAAAAAAAAAAAAAAAAAAAAAGACATTCTGTTTGTATTTTTTTATGCCGATATCTAATATTATGTTTATTTTTTTTTTTTACATTAAAGCAACAACCAAAGCAAATATTAATATTTACATGCTGTAGATATAAATTTATTATACTGTATTTACTTACTTTTTATTTTGTTAATTGAAATGTTTAGTTGTTATCCAATATAGAATTACCTTTTATATTTTGTTAACTTATATTTAAACATAATAATTATTTAATCAAATTAAAGCAAATAATTGCCTGATTTTTATAATTACTATGTTTGTATTTTCTAATCTTATTGTATTGTAATGTAATAAAGTAAGTAGTATATATAGTATATAGTGAGTAGACTATAACATAGGTTATTGCAGTACCTATAAACAAAATACAATGAATGTTATGCGTGCTTTAAATACATAAATTTAATATATGCATGTATGGTTTTATTAGTTCTTGTAGTGGATTATATATATATATATATATATATATATATATATATATATATATATATATATATATATATATATATATATATATATATATATATATATATATAGTTCTTGTAGAGGATTATATATATATATATATATATATATATATATATATATATATATATATGTATATATATATATATATATATATATATATGTATATATATATATATATATATATGTATATATATATATATATATATACACATATATATATATATATATATATATATATATATATATATATATATATATATATATACATATATATATATATATATATATATATATATATATATATATATATATATATATATATATGTATATATATATATATATATATATAGTTCTTGTAGAGGATTATATATATATATATATATATATATATATATATATATATATATATATATATATATATATATATATATATATATATATATATATATATATATATATATATATATATATATATATATAGATAGATAGATAGATAGATAGATAGATAGATATATATATATATATATATATATATATATATATATATATATATATATATATATATATATATATATATATATATATATATATATATATATATATATATATATATATATATCTATATATATATATATATATATATATATATATATATATATATATATATATATATGTATATATATATATATATATATATATATATATATATATATATATATATATATATATATATATATATATATTTATATATATATATATATATATATATTAAATCAAACACAATTCAAGATCTACAAAACAGATTTTATAACACATCAATTAAATATAATTAGAATAACTTAAGTTCATTTAACCGTATTTTATAATGACGTGATTGACGTCAATTATTTAGTTAAAATACATAGTTCTTAAGAATATAACAGTCTTCTCCGTTTTAAGAAAGTTTTAGTACGGCTTCCTCTTGGATAATACACTAAGAAAGAAAGTAGTCGTCGAGATACTTTAGCCTTTTAATAGTACGTCCTATTCGTGAGATTATATTAGGTTGTGTGTCAGGAGTAATAACCTTTTGAATAGATTGTTGGTTAGGTACTGTTGTAGTTGATTGATCATAAGAGAAGCTATCTTTTATTGGATTCCCAAGCGGATGCAGT